CCAGCAATGGGGAGGAAAAATAAAGAAGCCTAAAGAAAAAATCTTTGACACATGAAGAAAAATTGGAAGATACTATTTTATATCCATGCTAAGAAAACCAAGTAACCTGAGACACTACATATAACTTATCAGTACTCTGAACAATTTGTGCTTTGAGATTTTCTTACCTTGAAGACTTGAACAACTGACTATTAGTGAGATATTCTCTAGTAGGATGAAAGAGACAGGCTAAGGATGCAGGTGTGTGGTGGTGAGGGGTGGGATTAGAAAACCCTTCCTGGTTGGTCTTCTAGGTTATGCTGTAGCAAATTACCCAGGGGAATTCAGAGAAAATGGAGCTCAAGAGGTTTTCTACTTCAAATATGCCCATACTGTGTCAAAGATTAAAAACTACTTATCTATTGTATTAACAGCAATATGAACTTATTTATTTTTTAAAAAGAAGAGATGCAATAGTATCTCTTGAAGCATGAGGCGGTAATACATGAGAGAAAATAAGATTAATTAAAATAGGAAATTTTAAGGCCAATCAATCAGAAATAAGTGCTGTTCCAAATCAATTATAAAATTATCACAATACATTCACAAGAAAATAAAGTTATAAGTACAAACAAATAAAAGTCATCAGCATTTAGCAACACAATGTTTTATATTTTGAACCACCCTGTATATGGACATGGGCACATGTGTGTTTTCCACAAAATGGTGTGTTTTCAGTCTGTTTATGCTAAATATGTGGTACTTCACTTACTCCACAGTAGGACCAGACAAAACAGACAAAGATTTTTTCCCCCCAGATGGTATTTGTGAACCCCTGTAACCCATTCATATAAACACAGAATGTGTTCCGGTTTGCTGAGTTACATATACATGCTGTGACTCAGTACAAAGTCTGAATGTTTAGTTAGCTAGAAGTCTGCTTCCATTCTATGATTCATGAGGTCCCCCTGGTATCGCTACTTCCTTTATTTTATGCAATCACAAATTATATTAGTTTGTCCTATTTTGATAACCCTTATAATTGAAGTTCTGCACGAGAAATTTTATGACTATTTTAAAACATACTCATAAACTATTACTGAGGTGGCATAAGTGACGCCTCACAGAACTGGTGATTAGGATTGAGCAGGGCCTTGCATGAGCTCCTTCTACCAGGTTAACTGCTAAGTTAAAAAGTATTAGAAGTATTATAGGAGGGGAGTGGGAAAGCAGGGATAGACAACTCAGCGCATGCTGACCAAGATGGGAGATTTAAGCAATCAATTTTCACACATATAAATTTGTTACTAATTTTTACAATTAAAGATTATTACCATGACCTTGAAAAACTGGTTCTGATATGAAAACAGTACAACAGATTGAATAGCTTATTCCTTACCTGTAAACTAATATAGTGAATTTCTAATATAATTTTGAAATGAAATGTAATTATATTCTAAGCATAAAATGAAGAGACCCTCTGACAAGTAACTGAGTGAATAGAAAATAAAAGCACCTATACAGTCATCAGAAATCATGGCAGCTTAGAATGTGAAAGGATATTATAATTAATAGCATTATAGGAGCAATTCATTTATTGATGCTGCAATCCTGAGTATAGTTCCAGTATAGTTCTCATTGCTCTGGGTACTGCTGCCACTATAATGGCTCAATACAAAACAAAGACTGAACACTATTTTCCCTTTTTGCCTTTTTTGTAAAAGTCAAAATCCTCTTCAGATTTCTTCAGGTTAGTGGAAACAGGTACTGGGGTAGGTCTTTAGTAAAAGTGAAGTGGTGGAACACAAACTTTCAAAAGGCAGGGGATGCCTATATGTACAGGGTGTCCCAAAAATGCATATATACTTTGAATAATTACTAATCCCAATGGGTTGAATCTGAAAAGAAGGAAACATCAATTGAGCTATCAACTGTTAAAGTATATGGGTATTTTTGGGATACCCTATCTTACATAACACATAAAAATTAGCTCAAAATGTCTTAAAGACTTAAATGTAAGACCTGAAACTATAAAATTCCCAGAAGAAAACATGGGAAAAACTCTTTGACATTGGTCTTGCCCATGATTTTTTTTTTCTTCCTGGATATGACACTAAAAACACAAGTAACAAAACTAAAAAATAAACAACTAAAACTTTATCAAATTAAAAAGCTACTGCAAGCAAAAGTAATGATAAAATGAAAAAGCAACCTATGAAATGGGAGAAAATATTAGTAAACCAAATATCTGATAAGGGGTTAATATCTAAAATATATAAGGACCTGATAAACTCTATAGTAAAAGAAAATAAAAAAGAAATAATTTTAATACTTGCAAAGGATGGGTATCAGGAAGCCCCAATCCTGGTTCCAACTCCACCACTTACTAAGCCTATAACTTTGGGCAAATCATCTTTCTTCACTTGGCCATTCAAATTAGGAATAACAATATCCTCACTGAGATTTAATAATAACCAAATAAAACATACATGAAAACATTATAAAGTTTTTTTAAAAAATAAGAAAAGGATCTGATAGACATTTTTCCTAAGAATTTATGCAGCTGGCCAACAGGTATATGAAAAGATGCTGAACATCACTTATCATCAGAGAAATTCAAATCAAAACCACAATGAGATATCAAACTTTAGCAAATAATAGCATGTTAGGTAGCTATTATTTAAAAAAAAAAAAAAAAAAAAAGACATAAGATAACAAGTGGTGGTGAGATGTGGAAAAGAAGGAATCCTTGCAGGATGTTAATAGAAATGTAAGTTGGAAAACAGTATGGAGGTTTCTCAAAATATTAAATATAGAACTACCATTTCCCTCTAGTCTCCATATTTTCTAATGAGATTTCAGCTATGTTTCAAATCATTGTTCCCTTATAAAAAATCTGGCTACTTTCAGATTTACATCATGTCTTTAGTATTCAGTAGTTGGAACATGCATTTTGGGGGGATTACCCTGTTTAGAGTGGGCTCAGTTTCTTGAATCTGTAGATTTACATATTTCGGAAGTTTTCAGTCATGATTTGATTATTGAGAAAACCATTTACAATAGCACCAAAGAAGATTACACTTAGGAATCAATCTAACAAGAAATACATGAAGCCTATAGAAGAAAAATGTTATAACACTCATGAAAGACACAAAAGTAGTCTTGAAAAAAATGTTAAGACAGTTCCTATTCTTAAATTGATTCAACACTATAAAGATGTAGTTCTCTCTAAATTTATGAATTCATGCAATCTCAATAAAAATACCAATAAGCTATTTTATGAATCTACAAAGTTTAATATAACATTCACTTGGAAAAATAAACATATAAGAAATGCCAGGAGCATATTGAGAAAGAAAAATTACAAGGTAAGACTAGCTGTAACAATCTTTAAACTGTACTATAAAATTGGTATAATTAAAAATGTCATATTATAATAGCACATGTATAGACAATTTAAGCAATGGCACAGAATACAAAATTAGAAATATACCCTAAAGCATATATACTAATTTAGAGTATCATAAAGGAAATATCTCAAATGTATCAAAAACAAAATAGCTTACACAATAACAAAAATAATTTATAGATGAACTAGGGATCTAAACATTAAAAAGGAAAGTCATACAAGTACTAGAAGACAAAACTGAATGATTATCTCTTTAAACTTAGTATAAAGAAAAGCCTTTCTAACTATGATTCTAAATCCAAAGGCAATAAATGATTAATGAACTTTAATCTCTTAAAATAACAAGTAGAAAGAAAACTGATCCACTGAAAGGATTTATTAACATATACCATAAACAAAGGACTAATATTTCTAATATATATCAACCTAGGACCGAAAACCAGATAGAAAAATGGGAAAAGAATATGACAGTGTTTTTCACTGGTACAATCTGAACAATAAAAATAACTAATATTACTGCATAATACCCTAAAGATAAAATTGAAATATGTTTTAGTTCATCTATATGTTAAAATTAAATAAATATGTGGTGATAAAGAATGGCTATTCCTTTAAGGATAATAGAAATTAAAAAAACAGAAAAGGAAAGAAGGAAATAGAAAACCACTATTAGGTAAATATCTATATATATAAAAGGCTAATATACAAAGTGTCCCCTTGGGAATTTAACCGGGAGACCAGATGGAAACAGCTATGGATGAGTGCTGACCACCAGAGGGCAGCACGGAAAGAAGGACCCCAGCTAGCAGCCAGAAGTCCCTAATCAGCCCTGATCTCCGGCCAGGCCTAGGGATCCTACCTGTGTACGCATTTTGTGTACCAAGCTTCTAGTATGGTAATAATTATCTTAAAATATACTGATGAATGCTAAAATTTATGGACAAACATAAACCTGTTGATATGATACCCTTAGAAAGACCCCTAACTTCTATTAATAAGTTACTTTTTTTTCATTTTGTTGTTAATAAGTATCTTAGGGGAAATATTTGGTGACCATGCAAATATTCTTTTTATCTTGAATTGGCTCCTGGAAGAGAATAGGGACATTGAGAAAAAAAGATGAAATTCAAATAAGGTTGATAATTGTATTAACAGTATTATGCCCTTATTACTTCCTGGTTTTATAATTGTACTATAGTTATGTCAGATGTTAAGAGATGGCATTGAAGAGTATTTAGGAATTCTCTGTACTATTCTATTTATACAATATTTTGATGTCTAAAATTCAAAATAAAAAGGATTTAAAAATAGTACTGGAAAAACTATGCTTACATAGTGATAGAATACAGATTATAAAAGTTATTACCAGGGCTCAGAGGGTAAGTGAAAAAACTGATTTATACAGGCGACCCGTGGGAACTTCTATGGATGATGAAAATGTCCTCATATCTTGATTGTGTTGGTAGTCACATAAGAATAAGTCATCAAAACTGGTAAAATTTTGCTACATGTAAACTGTAACTCAATAAAACTGACAAAAAATTCCAAATGCAATCCCAACATAAGCAGAATGCAGAGGAGAGATAACAAATGAGATTATATATGTTCTTACCAGATTAATTAACTGAGTGTGTACCACATCTTCTACCAAAACTGCTGTTTCATGAAGAGGCCTCCTAGAATCACCTAAAGAAAACCTGCAAAAAATAAAAAATTAATCACACCAGTATCAAGACTTACAAAGCTAAGAATGGAGAAGGTGAAAGATATTTACTACAATTATCTGTTTAATAAAGTACAATTGTTTTCTCAAGTAACAGAGTAGTGGTACAGTTTCTTATGGACAATGAATTGCATCTCTCTTACATCAAGTGAAAGCAGTGTTATCTATCTTATTTTTTGATTTGTGTAAAATTTTTAAGGGTATTTACTTTTCCAAAATGTTTTCAAATTGTCAAGCCCTGTTTAAGAATAGAGTGAAGGACTGAAAAGGATTCTATAATAAAGGAGATCCTTTCACAATGCATACATATAACAAGTCCTCATATTGTACACTTTAAATAGCTTACAATTTTATTAGTCAACTAGAGGCCTGATGCATGGAAATTCATGCAAGAGTAGGCCTTACTTCCCCCAGATCCCAGAAACAGGGCTGACACTGGCTTTCCTTGGGCACCTGGAAACAGGACTTCCCTCCTCCGGCCACCTGCAGGCTGGCCTCCCCCAGGCCACCCACAGGCACCCAGGACCTGGGTTGGCTTCTCCTCCTCTCCCCACTCCTACCCCGCCCCCTGCCCGACACCCCAGCTTTGTCCAGAATGACATCCAGTCTAATTAGCATACTATCCTTTTATTATTATAGATTATACCTCAATAAAGCTGATTGAGTTTTAATAGAAAATAGATTCTGAAAAAGAAGCCAAGAGTGTAACTTTGATAAAAATCTGTGGCAAAGAACCTGCTGGGCCCGTCAGGAAGAACGCAAGGCCCACAAGCAGACCTGCTCATAAAGCATCCATGAACTCACCAAAAAGAAAGGACTAAGAGACATTTCTTTACTGCCATGTATTCATCTTCTTGGATGCTGAGCTGCTTTCAGTACTTACTACTGGCTACGAACTCTAATGTGGTTAACTCATTCTGGATGCTGTGGCTAAGTAAATTGCTGTGGTCTTGGGAGTTAGTTACTTTTTTTTTTTTATTACTTCTGGTTTTTGGACATTTTTCTACCTCAGGTAACTGACATTACTTTGAATGGACACCAAGTGACTACTGCTTATTGTAAGAAGGTTCTAGGTGCCTTTCTGTCCCCAAAAGAAAGTTTCCTTTTTCCCTTCAAACTATTTATTTGATTATACTTTATAAACTAGGTATTACTATAATATCCAGGAATTTCTCCTAACTGGAATTAGAGTGAATAGCAGGTTACAGCCCTCACTACACTCTTGTCAGCTAACCTGGCACTAGACAGCACGTCCAAACACAGACATCATACTGCTTATGTCATTCTTACCCAATATCTGTTGAGAATGATTTACCCACTGTTCAAAGGGGTGGGTAGTGCATAAGATTGCTATGATCATTCATTTAAGGCAACCAGACAGTTAAAACACATGCAAATTATCCTTACTCTTCAATTTTTATCACCTCTAACTTTCATATACCTCAATGATTTTATCTATTTTTCAAAGTAAGAAATTAATTCAATTGGTTTTGAAAAGGTCAAAGTGATAAGTAAATTAAAACATCAAATGAATACCTAGGATAACAGTTTTTCTAGCAAGTAGATATAAATGTAGAAAAATATAAGAAAAGAGTATAAAATTATCATTCATGGTCTGTAAAATTTATAATATATCAGTGTGAAAAATACACATATATTTGTATAAAGTAAAATGAAAGTTAAGCTGAGACCGGTTTGGCTCAATGGATAGAGCATCGGCTTGGGGACTGAAAGGTCCCGGGTCCGATTCCGGTCAAGGGCATGTACCTTGGTTGCGGGCACATCCCCAGTGAGGGGTGTGCAAGAGGCAGCTGATCGATGATTCTGAATCTCTCATCGATGTTTCTAACTCTCTCTCTCTCTCTCTCTGTGAAAAATCAATAAAATATATTTAAAAAATAAAAAAATAAAAAATAAAAAAATGAAAGTTAAGGCCAGTTAAAACTTTGAAAAAACACTATTATATGTATATCACCTATTGATATTAAGTACCTAGTATGTTTCAGGCACACTTGCCATTACTTAGGATCATCAATGAACAAAACACATTAAACAAAAGACAAAAAGAGTAGAATTTGCATTCCAATGAGGAAAGGATACAAAAATCAATATAATTAATATTATAAATTACTAAAGAAGTGATGTATATGTTAAAAATATAGCATAAGATAAAGGAAAACAGAATCAGGAGATGGGCAGTGTGAAATATTAAAATAATCATGTATTAATCTTTGATGTATGAGAGAAATAGCTTTTAATAAATGAGAAGAAAACATAAATTAGACAATTTTGCAAAAACCAGACTTAACTAGGAAAGTTCACCTAGAATTATCATAGCACAAGGCATGAAAATGTGCATATTAAGAAGTTTACACAAATGACATATGCATATGAATTTCGTATTACAATTCAGAGCAATTTCCTCTTATATCTTATATTCCCAAAAAGCAAATATCCCCATATTCAAACTGTAATAAGTAACAGCATAAAGCAAATTATTCCTTATTAGAGGAATAAAAAGATAATGAATGAATGGTAGGCCAGGGATAGAGCAAAAAGATTTACTTCATTTATCTTATTTTAATAAAAAAAAAATGAAGGTCAAGAAAATTAAATAACCATCTTACGGTCACAAATCTAATTAAAGGCTTTTATTTCAACTAGAAATAATCTTCTGCAATTCTATGTTAAATGAGCAAAAACTAACAAATTAGATACATTATTCTTAGATGCTTACTTACCAAAGATTAACAAAATAATATAAAGTCTGGTTCAACTACTTTGCATAACTAATTTCTAAGTCTTACAGTGCAGAAGCTTTTTAGTTTGATGTATTTAGTTTTATTTATTTGTTTTGGCTTTTATTTTCTTTGCCCTAGAAGACATACTTAAAAAAAATTTAAGATCAATGTCTAAGAGTTTATTGTTTATGTTTTTTCTAGAAGTTTTATGGTTTCAGATCTTACAATTAGAGTCTAACCCAGTGGTCGGCAAACTGCGGCTCGCGAGTCATATGCAGCTCTTTGGCTTCTTGAATGTGGCTCTTCGACAAAATACCACATGCAGGCACACACGCACAGTGTGATTGAAACTTTGTGGCCCATGCACAGAGTCGGTTTTCGGCTCTCAAAAGAAATTCCAATCATTGTACTATTGATATTTGGCTCTGTTAACTAATTAGTTTGCCAACCACTGGTATAACCCATTGAGTTTATTTATATATATATGGTGTAAGATTTCATTATTTTTGCATGCATCTGCCCAGTTTTTCTAACACCATTTATTATAGAGACTGTGTTTTCCCCATTGTACATTTGTGCCTGTCTTGTTATATATTAATTGATCATATAGACATGGGTTTATTTCTGGGCTCTCTATTCTGTTCTATTGATCTATGTGTCTTCTTTTATGCCAGAATCCTGTTGTTAGATTATTAAAACCTTGTAGTATAGTTTGATATCAGGTAGCATGATAAATCCAACTTGGTCCTTATTTCTCTATATTGAATTTGTCTATTCGGAGCCTTTTGTGGTTTCATATAAACTTTTGTATTACTTGTTCCTGTTTTGTGAAAAATATAAGGAAACCATCAACAAAACAAAAAAATAAAATAATGAATAGAAGATATTTGCAAATGATACATCTGATAAGGGATCCAAAATATATAAAAAAACACAAACAAAAAATACACGTAATCCAATTAAACAGAAGACATGAATAGACATTTCTTCAAAGAGGATATACAAATGGCCAACAGAAAAATGAAAAAATGCTCAACATCACTAATCATCAAGGGAAATGCAAATCTGAACCACAATGAGATATAACCTCATCCCTGTCAGAATAGCTATTATCAACAACTCAATAAATAAATGTTGGAAAAGGGAACCTTCATACACTGTTGGTGGGGTTGTAAATTGGTGCAGCCACTATGAAAACAATATAGAGGTTCCTCAAAATAAATAAATAAATAAATAAATAAATAAATAAATAAATAAATAACTACTTAGGCATTTATCTGAAGAAATCCAAACAATAATTCTGAAAAACAACAAAACAAAAAAAAAACCCTATATTCACTGCACCATTACTTATATCGATAATAACCAAGATATGGACACTAACTAAATTTTCATCAAGACAAATGGATAAAGATGTGGTCCATATATTCAAGGCAATATTATACAGCCATTAAAAAAGAATGAAATCTTGGCACTTGTGAGAATGGATGGACCTGGAAGGGATTAGGCCAGTGGTCAGCAAACTCATTAGTCAACAGAGCCAAATATCAACAGTACAATGATTGAAATTTCTTTTAAGAGCCAAATTATTAAAACTTAAACTTCTTCTATTGCCACTTCTTCAAAACAGACTCGGGCCAGGCCGTGGTATTTTGTGGAAGAGCCATACTCAAGGGGCCAAAGAGCTGGATGTGGCTCGCAAGCTGCAGTTTGCTGACCATGGGATTAGGCTAAGTGAAATAACTCAGACTGAGAACGACCAAAAACATATGATTTCACTTACATGTGAAATCTATAAAACAAAATAAATAAGCAAAGAAAACAAATTCAAATAGAGAATTTAAGGTCTCTAGATTGGAGAGCTTTGGGGAAGGAATGAAAAAGATAAAAGGGATTGGGAAGTACAAATTGCCAGTTATAGAAACTGTACAGAGATATAAGATACAGCTCACAGAATACAGTCAATAATATTATAACTGTATGTGGTGCTAGATTATCAGTATGGTCACTTCATGTAAGATAGGGAAATGACTAATCACCATGTTATATACCTGAAACTAATACAGGGTGGGATAAAATTAAGTTTATAGTTGTGAGTAGGTGAAAGAGTACTCCCTGTATTATTATTTATTAATTGATATATTATTTTTCATACTAACAACTGTAAATCTACTTTTGCCTAACCCTATATAATACTATTTTTGAACAGTAAGGAAAACATAAATTTAAAATT